AACTAGCAGAGGGGCAGTAATTGGAGAGCAAGCATCCTTTCGGTTCTTGTTGCATGTGAAATTTTTTTGTTCTATACTTTTGCTGATGTGCCATGATTGAGGATTTTAAGGTTATTTGTGTGAAATTTCATGATTATTGCTGATGTTATTTATGGGTTTGGATAGTGGTTTCCAGCTCAGATCCAAATCCCTTCCGTGTTTCAATGACTTTTACAGATTTTTGAATCACTTGCTTATATCCTTCGACATGTGCATAGCAATTGTTAGTAATTACTCCTCATTACACATCAATGAGGTGAGCTCTGGTGACACAGAGAGGTTACACTTTTTACTAGAAATTTTCCTAGAATGATTGTGATAGGGCAGGAGCGGGCAAATCAGACTCTCATCCAAGGTAGAACAACTTCCATCCATTGAACACAATGGAATTTTGTCGGTGTATATCCAGGGGTGAGGAAAACATATGGGTCATTTTTCTCTGGGGTCAGCCTAATATTTAAATAATGAATATCTAGTTTGAAATCAATGCCCCTGGAGAGTGAAGAATCAAAAAAGTGAACTAGTAGTTTAGACGTTTATGAATTAATCCCTTTGTCATACTGCATCTCACTTGATTACTTGTGCAAGATGTCCACAGAATTAGCTTAGGCATGTAGCTTTCAGAAATCTGTTTAGATTCTATGTGTTCTGCTGAAATTTCTTTTGCATTTTATGGCAGTTTTCTGAGTGAAAATCCGTATTATTCTAGAGGTCCCGCTTTTAATCCACAAAAATAGCATTTTGCTGGAGCATAATCAATAGTTACCTTTGCAACTATTAAAGAAAAACAAAAGAAGATGTTGTAATAACTCCAACCTGCTCGTTTTATTATGTTTCATAGCACATATTAAAGACTGGCAAGATCATGAAAATGCCCTTCTTGTTCTGTGATTTTGTCACTATGGTGTAGTGAAGGTGTCAGAAGATTCAGCCAACAGATTGACTTTGTGCGATAGCAGATGGAAGAAACAGACAATAGGAGACAAGAATAGTCACAAAGTCATTTTTCTAAGCCCAGAGAAACTCTACTACTAGAATCTTTTTACCAGTTATGAAAAATCAGACCTGGCTTTAGGAAGAAACTCCTTTAAATATGAAGTTTGCCACTTAATCTACATCCTGATGCAGCAGAACCTTCTTACAATTCCTTTGCAGCAAAATGATTTTCCTGCTAAATAAATATAGTATTTTAGAAAGATGTCAGTCTGAAAACTCTTATAAATGAAATTTTCTATATAGTCAATAGTAAACTGTATTCAACATGATCAGGAAGCCAGAAAAAAAAAACTTCCTGTATGCTATCCCATAAATGTAATTAAACTTCATTTTTTGTGTCAAAGAAAAAAGATCTCAATAAACTTCAATAGCTTTTAAAATCCTTAATCTGAAAAGTTGTAATCAGTTCCTGTTTTTAGATGTTACCTCAACTCTTCTAAAGTGATTCTACACACCTAATTAATGTTTTAGATAGTAGATGTACCTGTCAGGAAAGCAACTGAGTTTCTTGAAAGTCATATGCTGACTATGGTTAGCATCTTCTAGATAAAATAGATGCTATTTTATTTATGCCTATTTTTCTTCATTGACAATACAGCAAATGTTGATGTAGAATTAATTTTTTAAAAAATAATGTCTACCTTGTAAATACCTAATTAATTTAAGCTAGTCAATATATGCATTCAGTAGATGTCTGATGGATATAACAGGATTTGTCTTAATGAGATGACACATCCACATCAGGCCAGAATTCTGCTGTAAAAAGTGCCTGATTCTCTGCACTGGTTTTAAAGATATTATGTTAATAAGTTAAATATGAATATCTGCAGCATATATGTCCAAAAGTAGGTGAAATGAATTTTGTTCTGCATGACTTGATATTTTCACTGTAAAAGTCCATATTCAATCAAACTAATTCCACCTCAGCATTTAAACTGACCCATTCTCTTACTTTAAAGAAGCAGACCCAGATAGCATAACAGTAACTGCATATTCCTGCAAAACCTATAGCTTTGCAGGTCTTCTGCGTTCTTTGACAGTCTATGGTATTTTGACTCAAAGATATGGAGATGTAGGAACCTCTAAACCCGAGATGAAAAACTCTTTGACAGAGTAAAAATTATTGTGGATTTTCTGATTAGTCCAATAGAAGCAGCCACAATCCCAGGAGAAATGGCACAAGATACATCTTCAGTGCAGAGGGGTTAGCTGGAACTGAAGCAGGAGTAAACTCATACATGAGAGTATGTTACGCTCTCCTTTTCACCTCTCTCTCAGAGACAGGAAGAAGAATGACAACCAAAAGTGTCCTCATGCACTAACTCCCTTAGCTGTGGGTCCTGTGGTGTAGAGGAACAATGTTTTAGAAGTTGTAGGACTCTTTTATTTTCTATTACCTTTTACTGTAAAGGTGTTTTTCAGGAATTTGTGTTGGTTAGCAGAACATCCTTAAAAGAGAAGTGAGTTAAAACAGAGGACATTGTTATCTGTATCTTTTTAGATTAATACTTTCTGGAAGGTTGACTTTCATGGTCACTTTATTGGAGGGAATTTTATTTTTAAGCCATTTTAGAGGAAAACATCAGGACAACAATTGAATGTCACCTTCAAAAAACTTTGGAAAATGCCTTGCTTTTTTGAAGTGAACCTCAGACATTCCTCTTTTTAGTGGAATGTAAATGTTTTTTTGCTATACCTCTTGAAGTCCATGTCTTTTCCAAACAGCCATTTCAAACGCAGTTGAGTGGTCATTGAGTATGTTCCTGAGTTCCTTTTTTGTCCCATAGAATGTGTAAAGTAAGAGGATGTGTTTCTATGGCTGTTCTACAACTGAGAATTTCTGCGAATTTTCAGCTTCAACAAATTAATTTCACCATTACACATAATCTTTCTTGTCTCACATCTGCTGCTTTAAGTCCTCTTTTTTCCCACCTGGTATTCTTGAAAAAAACAAACAAACAATCAAAAAACACAATTCATTATCATCCACACAGCCCTTAATAGCCTCTAAGGTTATTCTTACCATTCTTATCAACAACTTTTTCCTCCTCGTAGATATTATATATCTATAATTTTCAGGGTGTGCTGTTTTTTTTTCTGTGTTTTCTTAATGACTTTTATGACAAGGCTGAAGAGGATATGTCAAGTAAGTTGAAGATGACATTGTATTTAAAGATGCTGCAAACTAGTTGTATAAATAATCAGATATGATTACTGTCAAAAAAAGGCCCTAAAAAAAAGCTGATCCTCTATGGCTGAGGTTAAATACATTATCTGAATAAGCAATTACATTCTGAGTTTCAATCGAAATGTATACACAGTGTCACTGACTTTGAGAAATGATATTTCTGTGTCCCGTTTACTCCCTCATTTGATTTCTTTGTAATCCATGGCTAGTTTAAGACACTGCTATATGCCTTGCATACTTTTTTGTTAATGGAAATACTATTGTTTGATAATATTTTCCACAAAATTTCAGTTCTTTTTTATCCATGTGGTAAAATGTCAGTAAAAAGGACTAAAAGCAATCTTGACAGGTCTTTTAAACCCATGCCCTTGGCTCAGTACTATATCACTTTTTCTAGAGATTGGCAAAGATGGAGATTCTGTATGCTCCTTATTAAAATGTTCCAACGGCTTCCTCTCTCTCTCTTTTTTTTTTTTCTGAAAAAAAAAACTAGCAAACAAAAACATTTGTTTAATGTATAAATTCATTAAAAAAGTCCTCTCTTTTGTGACTTGAGATTTGAGATTTGGTGTGCATCTCACAAATGAGTCATATGCTATTTAATGCCATCTAAGGAGAAGTGTTCCTGTGTGTTTGTCACTATCAGAGCGCAGTGCATAACTGAGGGCCTCCAGCAAGGGGATAATGTTTAGTGTTAGATATGCTCACAGACTTCTTGAACGTGTATTAATTAAACCTTCAATTTCATTGACGTCCAGTTGGATATGTAAGGAGCAAATTGAAACCTATATTCCATACATCATAACCAGACTCAAAATTTTAAACTGAAATAACAGACATCTCTTCCAGAAGTCTTTGCACAATTTCAGCTTTCCCTGCCCTCTGTCTATCATCTTCTGAACTTCCCTGAAGGGACTCAGTCATTTTTTGTTCCCCTTTGAAAATGACCAAGAAGGCCACTTTGCTATAATAAAGCACTCACCTCATCCAGTGGGTCTTTTTTATTTGGGTCTTTTCTGCTACCTGATCAGCAAGTGACATTGATCAAAGCTGATCAATGTCCTTTGGTGGAACCCTCCATTTGTTGAATATTGTCGATATTCAGATACTACTTGAAGGTACAAACAGTTATTTCCAACCCTTTTGATTAGACCAACGGGATCTTATTTCCCTCCCGACCCCTGTTGTTCTGATGCAATGGAAATTAGTTACCTAATGGAATTACACTGAAGTTTGGATTGTATAAAGGAAATCAAAAGCAAGACCTTGGGGAGTAATCATGAGTTTAAGAGCATGCAAGTTTTTCTGCCTTCAGTACTATTCTGTGGCTTTTTTTTTTTTTTTTTTTTTTGGTCAATAAGGAAATATATTCACAAGAAAAAGTAGTTCCGCACACTCCACTGCGGTTAAGCAATTAGGCAAGAAGGTTTTTACTGTGTTTTGGTAGCAGTTTGAATCCCATGCCTTCCTTGTGTCTGGCACTGTAGAATAAATCCTAGCTTATAATAATGCAAACCAAAACAACAATACAGGGTATTAAACATTATTAATATGCTGCTTTGTACTATTATTGTATGAGTATGAAGAAGTGGGTGAAAACCATGGTGTGTGTAAAATAATTGTTTGGGAGTAAATGGGAATGTTGTAGATTTGTATGCATAAGTATATAATGCATATATTTAACAAACGGGAGGCAAGAAAATATTTGTTGGGTGTTCTTTAATTAAAGTTGTTTATTACAAGGCTGCATTAAAGTTCTTTCATTCTATTGTAACAGGAGACTGGCTCGTTCTACGCTACTGCTTATCCCTTTGTTTGGAATTCACTACACGGTGTTTGCTTTTTCTCCTGAAAATGTCAGTAAGCGGGAGAGACTAGTGTTTGAATTGGGACTGGGATCTTTCCAGGTGATTATACAGAGAATTCTGCTTTCGTTAAAAATAAATCTGTATTCATTATGACCATTTTGCATGCCTAGTTCTCAGACTATGTGTCTATTCGCATATGCATATGCTTTGTAGACTAGGATTTTTTTGTTTGTTTCTTTAAACTCCAGTTATTTTCTGGCATTTCCTGAAGGATTTGAATTACAGTTTTTTCTCTCCCATTTATCTAGGGTTTTGTTGTTGCTGTTCTCTATTGTTTCTTGAATGGGGAGGTAAGATTTTTAATATTTGACCTCTCCCACCCTCACCATCCCCATCACATTTTCTTGTGGGACTAACTCATTCTAATCCTTAGCTGTAACTCATCATCTACCTTATTCCTTGATATCTTAGTCCAAATCTCACCGTGTCTCAACAAAACAGAGTAATTTCCTCATTATAAAAATTGTTGTTCTTCCATAGATGATGGCCTGGATTAATGTTCACTATTAGGTTTGGTTAAATGACTGGTTTCCCAATACTCCTTATTGATTCAACAGAGACACAAATGCATTCAATAGAGCTTTGGGTTTTAACTGGGCTGAAGCACTCCTTGAAGGTGCCTGTATCTTTCCATTGCCTACAGAAATAGCCATGAGCAAGTAGCTTTCTAGTTTAGGAATCTTACTAAAGTATCTAGGGCAATGACAAATGGACCCCCAACCACCCTGGCTAGCAACATTAGGTCACTTAGGCCTCTTTGCATGAGATGGACATTGGACAGTTTGCGTGGGCACTTGGCAAAACCCTTATCTGCAAAGAGAAGATATTGCAGATGTTTAAGTAGTTCTTATTGCTGGTAATTGCTGTTTTGCTAAAACTATCTGGATAAACTCAAAATAATATTCTACATAGAAAATTAGTATTTTGGTGATGGCTTTTCTCCATAATGTAAGAATATTTTTTTGTCTTTGAAAGTCAGTAAATTTTTCGAACAGATCTTCATAGTTTTATGATACTTTCTTTGTTTTTCTTTTCTTTTTTTTCCTGATTTTCTACTTCTTTTAGCTTGTGCCAGACATTTTTAAAGGATACATTTCTGAGTATTGGACTTGTCACTGTAAATACAGAATTACAAATTATAATTGTGACAGCTACATTACTGTGTTTTGAGGTTGCTGTAGCTTTGGTCTTGGCATTTAAGGACAGTTTTGAGCAGTTAGTTAAGAGCAGTTAGGCCTTTCAAAATTGAGATCTCTGTGATCTTTAACAGAATTCTACTAAGTAACAAAGGCAGAGGAAATATCAAAGTCATAGGATGTCTTTCATCTATTGAAATATTCAACATCCAAGACTGGGGTAACAATTCCAGGCTCCCTTAATTGTCTATATGGAGAAAGAATAAATTCTTGAATGTTTTATCTCATTCTCTTGTAGCTATTTAAGACATGGAAAATGAATTGTCTTTCAGAGGTACCTGACTCTGGAACTGACTTTAAAAAGTTAAACTGACTTTAAAGCAGCTTCTTCCAATTTTTAATTCTGAGTATTTGAAGAAGGAAAGGATAAAACAGACACCCAGCCCTGTCTTCATTCAGTGGGTGGCACTAGTCTAAGTTGATTTAACACATTCTATAGAATATAGCACAGAGTACTTACAGAGTGTTAATATGGAAAATGGTTATCGTATCATATCACGTTACCTAAAACTGATTGCCTTGTCATGGAAATTGTAAGCAGTAACCTGAACAGTTTGACAAAGTCTAATTTATCATATTGGTTAGTACTATAAAAGCTTCTCTTTCATGCAACAGCACTATGCTATAGCTTGCCCGCCTATTCAACCCAGACATTAAGCCAGGAGTTCACTCTATAGTTGGGTACAATATAAATTTGTATTTATGAAGAATTTTCCATCTCTTCATTTTTGAAAATCTGAAATCATTTCCCGATAAACTTTTTCTGTAGGTGTTTGTATGTGTGTGTGTATGTTTATACAGAAGTGATAATCAATCTTAATTTTGATTCAAATCTGCCGATCTGCAAATTATTACTTCCCTGGCTGCATTCGCCAGAATGAACGTCTGAGATAAAGGTTTTCTGAACTAGTGGGAAATTATTCCCATCCAGTCCTGCCTTAAAGGAAATGTATACAGTTCACCCCTTTTCTTTTTCATTGATTCTCTTTTATTGTGCAGTCTAATAGGAAAAGACTTTTCCTAAAATCACTTCTTTCTTTCTTTACAGGGAGTTTCAGACCATTTGTTATTATCAGCTCTAGGGCGATAGACATCCCATGATTGTTTGCACATAGAATACCAAAGATGGTCCCTGCTTCAGTAGGATGTTAGTTCATTTAGTCAAGTGATTTCTTCTCAAAAAAAAACAAAACAAAACAACAAAAACCAACAACCTGCTTAAAGTAGTCAAGCAAACTTATGGGTCATCTTTGCTGATGGGCTTAGTCAGGGTACCTCGCAGGTGACAGGATTCCTTCACGACATAATCCCATGTAGCTTAGAAGGTGAGTTCTAGATCACACCTTGCCACACAGTTGGTGGCTGTGTTCATATTACACTATGTGATGTTACCAGATATCCATATTGTACTAGCTGATGTTGCCAGATACCCATTTCTCCCCCTTAGAACTGTTATTTCATCTGTTGCCTTTATGGGAGTTTTAAAAGAATAATCAGGTCACACCTAAAGCTAACGGTGGATATAAGTGCTTTCTGAGACATGATAAATAATGTGACAGAGTTCCTGTAAGGCTTTCACTTGCATCCTAGCCAAAATAATATAGCAAGAGAAACTAAAACCATTTTATTGTCTCTCCACATCCCTCCCCAAATTGAGAAAGCTCAAATCTCTACCTCAGCATTCTATTCCCTCGTGTCTAAAAACTACTTATATAGAGTATGAAAGGGTCCACCTTGTGTGTATCCCTGCCAGAGATGCAACACTATTTTTTTCGAGTGGAAGTAATATGCCTCTGTCTAATTGATACCTATTTATACACTAATAAAAAGTAGAAATTTAGGGTTATTAGAAGAATAGGAGATTTACATTAGGAGAATGTAAATTGTCCAGTTTCCAACCTGTGATTGGGATCCATATGGAATAAGCCCTTGTTTAGCGTTTTGGCCTATGCTGATCCATTTTGAACAGCTGTATTAGTCTAGGGAAACCTACCAATGAATACTAAAGAAAATCAGAGCACTTTTGATACAGCAGTTTACTACAGGCTGGAAAAGTATATTGGGGGACTATCACTACATCTTTGCCTGTTTTTATGCTCTTTTACTCAGAGTTATTGTATAGGCTAATATAGATCAAGGGAACGGAGAGTATTATAGATGTTTATGCATATGAGAGTGGGCATTTACTTAGAAGAGACCAAAAAAAAAGAAAAGGCAAAGTTTTTATTAGACGTGCATCCATGCATCCACAGATTTTCCGCCTAGGATGTTTCTGCTACAGCCTTCTTCAAAACCAAATGAAGTCAAAATTTCCATGAATGTATTTATATTTGAGGACATAGGTCTGAGGATTGGTATAACAGAGACCTTCAAAAATGTGGAGCAAGAAATGCAAGTACAGCGAATCAATTTATTTTGAATCCTATGGAAGAGATTTAGGCATTTCAAAGGAGAGATTCAGGCATTACCTGAAGATGGTCTCCACCTATTGAAAACACTAGGATTTTACTTACAGTATCTGAAGCTATTCCTGGCAAAAAACCAGTTACCTTTTTGAGAAAGTTATTTCTTTACTGTCCAGAACTTTTGGGAGTACAGTTTTCTTTGTCCCCATCTTATGTATTTGGTAGTGGTTACTGGTGAAAACAAGATATTTTATTTTTTTCCTAAGAGACTGACACAATGTTTCTGTTGAAGTTAGTGTTGAACAGGTCTTCCAAGAACCTGTGGGATGATTCATTATGGATGCTGAAATTATCTGAGGTTGGACACGAACTCCAGGCAGTTGTTCCCACAGCATGCCTTGTTTTCTTTGAACATAGAAAAATCACCTCATATTTCACTGATTTGAAGAATTTAATAATAGCTTTTTTTTTTTGTCTGAACTTGATAATTTGTCAGCATGTCCTCGAGCGGCTAAGTACATAAAAAATGACCTTTTGAAGTTTCTCCCTAAAGGTGCAATCAGAAATAAAGAGAAAATGGAGGAGCTGGAAAGTCAACCGGTATTTTGCTGTGGATTTCAAGCATCGTCATCCTTCTCTAGCGAGCAGCGGAGTGAACGGGGGGACACAACTCTCCATTCTGAGCAAGAGCAGCTCTCAGATTCGGATGTCCAGCATAAATGCGGAGAACCTAGCGACATGAGCAGCTAAGGAAAACAAATCAATCAACAAGCAAACCAAAAAAAAAATCCCTTTAAAGAGAAAATAAAATCATAGTTTTCATGGTGTTGTGGGTTTATTTTCCCTTCTCTTCCTTTTTCCTCCCTTTTCTTCCTTTCCTTTCCCTTCTCTTCCCTTCTCATCCTTTCCCATCACTTCATCTTTTCTCCTCTCCTCTCCACTACGTCCTCCAAAACATCCTTGATGTTTGCAGAGGTGAAAAGCAAAGGAAATGTGTATATATATATATCTTTTTAACAGCCACTGTAAATACACAACTGTAATCAAGACCATTGATGAAAAAAAGATTTACAAGATAACCTACAGGCCAAGGCCACCCACTCAACGATTTGCGTTTCAGAACATCTGCAAGTAATCCATTGTCTGTCAAAAGTAACAAGTGATTGCTGTGCAGTTGTGATCCTTGGTTGCCGAACTGATATTAATCCGTGAATGGACATGATCGTTATTTTTCAAGTTGGTTTTAATTTTTATTTTTGATTTAGCTCTGCTTTTTCTGTTTTTGTTTTTTGGTTTTTTATTCAAACCTATCCGCCCCAGTCTTTTGGCATGTTCCACAGTATTTCTCTTTTGAGTCTTAGAATACAGTCAACTTGCTTGGGTTAATCACATCAGCCAGTTCAGGAAGGACTTCAGAAAAACACTATTATGACTGGATTTAGTCAGATGTACTCAGTGGACTTGAAGAAACTGCTATGCCAATATGAAGTTGCATAGCTGTCATCAATCAATGGGGGGACTCCAAGTGAAAGAGCTTTTCCCATACCCAGGGACATTATAGATGCTCTATGTTCTTGCTAAGCTGTGAATTTTTTTTAAAAGGGCAATGAAGTTGAGATATACCTATATTTTTGGCATTGACTGATTGTTAAGTAGATTGATAGATTGATCAATTGGATTATTTGAGTAATGAAAAATGATTGTCCCCTCACTCCCACTGTAAGCGAAAAAGTCAGTTCCAGGATGGTCTTTCCCTCCAAATAACCTTGAACCCTCTGTATCTGTGTCCAAAACATGGCATGCTTTTGGGTGGTTGTGTCACACGGTGTGGGGTGCCTTTGTGACCTGCTTGACATGTTTGTGTTAAGACTCTTTGCCAGAGCAAAAGGCATAAAAGTGAATTGGCATGATCATCTTTAAAGGTAATCACCACCGGTGAGCATCTAAACTCAACAATGAGATGCTACGGAAGGAAAGGATAAAGACTTTGGATGACTTTCCACACCTGACAGTTTTCCTTCTCTTTGGATATTCTTTTTGCTTAACCACAGATGTTCTTAATGCTTTTGTCTGAGAGAAACTAAAACATTCTTTCCAATTTTGCCTTGTAATTAAAGCCACGACTGGTACATATCTACTTCAGTCAAATGTTGATGATGTCAATTCTTAAAGTCTTTATATGGTTCATAAAGACTTTGAGGACTGTACTAGCTTTCACTTCATTGTGGATTTATGAACTGATATATATATAAATATATATATATATGTTCATTTATATGTGTTCGTATATTAAAACAAAACAAAAAAAAAAGACATTTCAAATGTGAACTTATGAACTCAAACTAATAGTAACCAGGAAATTCAAAATTCAGGTTTGTACTTTGGTGTTGGTTGACCTGACTTTGAAAAGAAAGTGAAAAATCAGAATTTCAGTGTCAGATGAGCTTTTGATTTCACTGGTTTTTGTTAGTTTAGGTTAAAAAACTTTTAATGTCATTTTAAGGATAGATTTTTTAAAAATAATGTTAGTTTCCTTATTTTTAAAAGGAAAAATAATGGTCACAGAAAGTTGTGAAAGAAGTATTAATTATAATACTCAACACTTCAATATTGATTTATGGGACATAATCTGCTCTCAGTTGCAGCAGTGTAAATGAATGTAAGTGCAACTTATTTTAGAAATGATAAAGTAGTTGCTCCTGAACTAAGTTGAAATATATGGAAATGTTGAGATTGACTTCATGTTGGGACAGGATCATGCTCTTGTGAAACATTTACATCTCAGTCCAGTGAAATCTCTCCTTGTGCAGAGGACCAGTAAAAAGGCTTAAGTAAGAAGTCACTTAAATATATTCTGGTATCTTAAGTGACGGTTGAATGGCCCAAGTAGCCCCCCCTTTTCTTTTCTCAAATGTTCAGCTGTTTTGTGAGCAGAATGTGTCCCTCTGTGTTCCAGACTCTGTGCAAAAATCACTGCAGTATTCTTAGCTGATAGATTTGATCTTCCACTCTCATTATATGCTGCTAATAACTATTTTAGAAAGTTTCCCAGGGAAGCACTTTGCACACCAGAAAGACACAGTAGTGGGAAATTGGGAAGGTCATATTTATCAGTTAATGTATACTTATACATTTTTTTTAAACAAAACTATCTAATATTAGATGAACCGATAACATTTAGTTTTGTATTTTCTGGATGGGCTTTCACAAGGTGTTATACTGACAACAATGTAAGTGTATTATAAAAAATATGAAAAAGTATGTTTTGCATGAATGGCTGGTAGCCAGTTTTCCAGCATTAATAAATTGGAACTTTTGAGGGGAAAAAAAAAAAAAAAAAGTTATTTGGTTAATTGCATCTAGATGGAAACTTTTGTGTCATTTTCAGTCCAGAGCAAGAAAGTTTTTTTGTTTGTTTGTTTGTTTGTTTGTTTGTTTGTTTGTTTTTAAGTCTTTTGGCTTACTTTGGGCATCTGTTGTTTTCCTGGCTGTCCTACAGTAGCCTGCAATTTGAGTTGGTGGATCTCAGTCCAGTGCCTCGTGGCCAAGTGTCCACATCACCAAAACCACCCTCCTCTCATTCACACTGCAGACCAGGTCCTCAGCTAAATTAAAATCCATATGGAAGACCTTTGCTTTTGTTAAAACAAAGCCACTGCATTTGTGAAACTTGCGATTTGTTCTCAGTAAATCATTATTATTAATATTATTGTTTTTATTGCTATAATTTTTAGCAGTCTCAGCAAGAGGGGCCAAGGACTGAATAGTCATGAAGACTTTAACTTGCCACTTAAATACCTAGAGCCAATGCTCAGGAACAGGGCAAGTTGGAGGGCAGTGAGTCAGAAATTTCTGCTATTGCTGTCCCCATGTTTCATGTTCAGTGGACGGATTGAAGTCTTCGGTACTTTTCACCAGCACTCAATTCACTAGAATAAATGGTATCTATATATTGAACATAAACTATATTCTAAAAGCCAATCCCTTATAACTTTTTTTTTTATTGAAAGTTCTGACATATCTTCAAGTGTGACTTTCCTTAGTAACTCTAACTTTCTCAGTGTTATTGGAAAGATCATATTTCAGATGTATATAGTTATCTAAACCAGAATCTAATGTCATCGCACAAATTACGCTCAGAAATCTTTACGTTGAATGTAAGCTGAAGATGCTGGACATGCATGGCCACCGTTCACAGTGGCCACCATTTCTATTTGTTTCTTGATGGAAGAAACCAAAAGGTGGTTTTGCTTCTACATGTGTGTAAATATTGACTGAGTGTTAACAGTGCAATGTTTGATTTTTCACTGTGAAATATATTTTGGAGTCAGAAAGGCTATGTTATTAAAAGCAAAATGTAATTAAAAGAAAAAAAGTGTCTAGTGCTTCTTGAGCACTTGTAATGTATTTCTTGTCTCATTTTCTTCTTTTGCTTTTGTAAATTTACAAACCCTTCTGTACTGCAGCTTTTGCGAATATTGACTGTATTTAACTACTGTTTGATGTGGATTACTGGTACTAGAGAACAATTAACATCCCAAAATGAAAAGCAAGAGCTATATTTCAGAAGAAAAAAAGGTTATTTCATTACTGCATCATGACCTCGACTTCTTTTACCATCAGCTGTTTATGCATTTAGTGTATATGAAGCTCAGAGCACAGGGACTGAAAGTTCAGTACTTAGTTATGGGAGGATTTATTCCATAAATTGAAAATGCCACATTGCTCTGCCTATATTTGAAAACCTGACATCAAGTTGGGATGGCAGGAGAAAGGACAGAGATACTGGCAAGTGAATCCATAGTGGAGGATAAAAAAGGTACAATCTAGAAGTTACTATTCAGATACTGATTTTGGTGTATAGCTCTTCCCCTTTAGCAGTTATCTTTCCTTTCAACAATAACAACAAAGTGATCCTTGACATCACAAGACCAAGTAGTAACTAGAAAGGGGCAAGAACTGCCTGTGCGGATCATCTGAGATGGCATTTGTAAAGATGAACTCTCCCTGGACCCCCTGCATCTTCCAAGGGTGATGCAGAGCAGAGAGCGTTGAGACTTATGGTCAGCATCTGACTTGGGGGAATCTTTGTTCTTCAGAAATATCCATGGTTGAGGAATGGGACCCAGAGTGCCCCATGACTTTTGGGTCCTGACTTAAGTGAGCATTGTGCAAGCCAGTTTCTGTTTCCATATTAATTTGTGTCCCCCAGGAATGATTTTATATTGGTCAATGTAAACGAGATCTGAGTTGTGACACAGCTTCCATGAAATTGTGTATGTTTTAATCAATCAGACTTGGTCAGTTTTGACTGATAAAGGAGCATTATTAATGCAACCAGAGTAGCTGACCCTGCAGACTCTGTTTCATGGGAGTAGGCCTTGCTATTTCTTGCTTTTCTGCTTTCTCGATAGCAGAATCGAGAGAAGGTTCAGGACTCATTCTCTGTGTTTATACCTCCAGGTTGAGCCTTCCAGAGCAAAAAGTTGTCATAATTTGCTTTGCCCATGGCCCTAGGTAGTATTATGGCATTTTCTAGAATTGTCTTCACAAACCTCACAGATAGATAAAATAAACGTATGATGAGAAAATGCAAAGCCAAAAGCAACAAGAATGAGAAATATTTGACAGAGTTCTCTGACCCTCAGGTGCTGCAAAGCAGCACGATGCTTCTAGGACACTGAGGGAAACTGTGATCCCCTCTTTTTTTTTTTTTTTCACATCATATTACTTCCACTTCTAAACTGATCAAAAATGTAATGGGCTTTCTCCTCCCACTGGAAGCCATTGTAAAAGTTCAGAT